AATGGTCTTTCTTCTGCATTCAAGCCACCTACTTAACATTCGCCTGATAAATTCTAGCATTGCAACGATTGGACTGTCTCTTGGAGCTAATAGTGCATTGTTCAGAGACTCTGCAATGTTACTGGAGGTCATATTATACCTCTGACCAGAAAAGTGTGATCTAGTCCACAGCGCAAGAGGGATTTTTTCCATGTACTCCCAACAACTATAATCAACATCCTTCAGCCTTGCGTATAGTCTCTTGAAATTAGAAACTGTGAACGCTTCTCCAGCCTTTCCGACCAACCCTTTCTGACCGGAACCTTTGAATTTACCGTGAACATTTCTCTGGATATGGACAAGACATGCACCGTGGTATGACTGTGGATACCATTTCTTTTTAGCTTTGGCAATTCCACCGTGCCCATCCCAAATAATAGTAAGATCAGAGGAATCTGGAATAATTTCTAACAACTTCACAAAGAACCACCTCCACGTCTTGTCAGACTCTGCATCAACAACGGCGAACGCTATTGGAAATACCTGGTAATTAGCATCTTATCCACTGGCCGTTAATAGACAACCCTTATACTTACCAGTGAGGTGAGTCCCATCAACAACAAGTACTTGTTTCAAATGTTTCCATCCAGATATACACGCAGCCAATGCCATAAATACAGACTTAAACCTGGTAATACATTTTCTTTCTTTTTCATCTCTCTCGCTCTCGGTTATCAAATGCGTTATGGTGCTGGGATTTGCATACTTGAGCACATGGAGGTAAATCGGTAATAATTTGAAAGAAGTCTCCTCTGTTCCGTGAGCAGAGTATATAGCCAGCTCCTTAGCTTTCCAGCATTTCCAGTACGAGGCTGTAATATTATATTCGGACAGAACAATCGCAGGTAGCTGACTCGCACGTGGCCCAACTATTGCATTCTCATACTTAGACTTCAGCAGAGCCGCCATGACTTTAGAAGTAGCATGTTTTGAAAATTTCTTTCTTGTATCCGGGTGGCATGTATGCTTCAAACACGCCTTCCTCACCTCATACAACGCCGACTCGCCAACTTGACACCCCAACACTCTCCAATCACATATCTTTGATGGACATTCGGCGACTGTGTACTTCTTCGCATGCTTTTTGAATTCGAACGTCACTATATTCTTCAGCGCATTGATGGCCAACGTGATTTTAAAGTGTTCCTTGTTCCTGAACTTTTTCCCAACCCATATCTCTCCATCTTCATTTGACAAATCAAGTTCATCGAAATCCCCTCCCATTTCATCAGAGACTGGGGCCACATCCGGAAATCCATATAGTTTTGTACGTTTAATCGCTTTCTTCAGCTCTGCACCGCCATTCAGACGCCCGCAACTGACATCACCTGTCGGAGTCTGCACAAAATCATCATCATCTACATGGAGAGCCAGAACATTCTCACATACAGTCCTCTTTCTTCCAGGAAAATGAATAGGACTCTCCGTTAAGAAAATGGAGTTGTCCATATGGTTTGAATCACTCGGCTCACTTCCGCGAGTACTTCCACAACCGCCTGAACTACCAGAGTCATCCTTATCCTTATCAAATCCAGGTTTAGAATGGAAACCCTTTCCATCTGCTAGTACGTAATCATTCCACCAGTCAAAATCATAATCCGGATCATAATCATCATCAGAGCCGTGTGCGTCATCGTCAACATCATCAGCTTCCTTCTCTTCCGAATCTCTCGCCTCGTCTGATTCCTGGGACATTTTTAATTCCAACTCAGGGTGGTCATCAGAGACAGCGTGACTTGGAACATCCGGTTTTACATTAACGGAGGTGTTAGTGCTGGCCTTAGCCTCTACTTTCTCTGATTCCTGGGACATTTTTAATCCCAATGGAGGATGGATAACAGAGACAGCTTCAAGTTGTACACCTTTGGAGGTGTTCATTGCGGCCTCTGCCTCTATTTTCTCGGCATGTGCTATCAGCAAACAATCATCGATATCTTCATCATCTGCTTCATCATCGGGTTGACTAGACGCTGCCGAAGAAGAGGCTATGAAGTTTGTTGGCCCTAAGGACTTTCGCCGTTCCCTCGCAATTTGAACTTCAAGACTTTCCTTCCGTTTCAATCTCACCATTTGACCATTTACTGACTCCTTGAATGTGACAAATAAATTCACAGACTTGTCAGACTTATGCAGCGAAAGGAAGAATTTGTACTCTCGAGGAGTAACTATTACACATGGACAACTCCCATCACCATTAAGCTCAGCTAGAACATCATCAAACCAGTAGGAAATCTCCACCGAAACAACTCTCGTGTCTAATCCGAACTCATGCGCAATCAGATTTCTCAAATCATCTGGTTCGGACACATCTTTGCAATTTATGCACCTGCCACGACAAAATATGTTTATTTTGAAATCTCATTCTCCTGTATAGTACCTTATCCACGTTCCCGCCATAACAAGAATGAACGCATCCACTGCAATTCGCGAACACCATATCTATAAAATTACTGGCAAATGGCGAACACCAGACCGAAAAAAAATCGAAAATAACAATGACAAATCTATGGGTGTACAATAATAGGATTAAGTAAATAACCGGGGTTGTTGTCCTCTAGATCATCGCATAATTTCCCCTTTAATTTCAACATCTTCTGGAAAGGGAAACTAGGGTTTCTAATTTGGTTAGGGTACTTTGTTTCTTATTTTAACCAAATGAACTCCATTATCCCTAATTAACCACAATTTTTCCCGCCAAAATTAAAAAGGAAATGAGAAGGGTAATCTTTCGTGTAATTACTTGGGTAGTTTCCGGCCCCTAACCGAGGCCCAGTTAGGTGGTTTTTGGGAATTTCATTCATAAATTCGAAATCAGGCCCAAAAAACGACCCAAACACGCGCGTGAGTGCTCTCTTCCCGGCTGATACGCGGGCGGAGGTAGAGAACGCATGGGATCTACGGTATTTTCTGCCTCCGTCTCTCTGAAGAACAGACTGCTCTGTCTCTCTCTCTCTCAGAAAGAAAGGTAAGTTTGCCATATTGAAAATATGTCCCTACCCTTCCTAATTAAAACTTAAAACTTCATTTTCCTCAAATTAAAACTTAAAAACGTCATTATTTTCAAAACAACCCTATTTTAAACTACTGCATGTATATAATGATGCATGTACAATATATTTACGATAGTGATAATTTTGAATAAATAAATAGTTAATTATTTTTTTACCAAATCGACGATCGAATAAGAAAACAAAACTTGACGGATAAGTTATTTCTATTATTGTGTACGAAAATATGCTAGTTTTATACTAAGCCAATCTTGGTACGACTCTCTCAACCAGTATGAAAAGACATAATAATGTAAACTAACCTTAGTGTTGCCAATTTAATGAGTCATGTGTTAGAAACTGGATCTGATCAATTCCGATCCTAATATACCAATAATAGAAAAATAAAAGACACAGTTATAGTTAGCTAATTTTACCAAAAAAAATTATAGTTAGCTAATGTGAGAGTTATGTATACACTTTCCTCGCTGCTGATTCCATTATGATCAAATTCAGAGTTCTTAAAAGTTTTTCTTTATTAATTCACTCTTCAACAGAATAAACGAATTCACATAATATACAGAGAAAAAAACCTAAAAGGCAAACGAATAATTTCTAAAATATTGAAGTTCTTAATAGATACTTGAATCGATGAGGTCAAATAGTAGATCCGAAAGATTTCGGATAGGTTTTATGATTAGCCATTATACAAGGTATCTTTGACCAGTTTCGATGGAAAAACATGATTGAGTGACTTTATAAAGTCGAGAATTTTAGAATTAAGAATATTGTGATTTGGATATGTTTTTGTCATCTTTATTATTTTGAAATTCCCTACATATAATAGATGATGGCGGTGGATATGATCGGTCTTTGATCAACGATTGGTTGATTAACTATCAAGTATAAGCAAAGAGCATGAAAATATATAAAAATAATACAGTAAAGAAATGCAAGCGGGATTAGTTTTCGCCCCTTACAAAATAAGATACAAGGTATGTATGCATGTGTTTTTATTTTGTGTTTATCGGAAATTATGATTTTGAAATTCCCTAATGAGGGTGAGAAGAACAATACAAAGTAACATACCAAATACTCTTTTAATTAATATACATAATCTATTCCAAATCTGTTTTCATATACCTATATGAATGTTGTCATTTAAATTAAGTTGGTTCAATGTTCCTTCAAATTGATTTAAGAAACCCCAAATAATCTCATTGATCACGCAGATAAAATACTTATGAATATGATTTATGTGCGTCTTATGACTTTAATCGATCGTTTATATAATTCCAAAAATATCCTTCGAACATACTTGACTCATTCTAAGTCGTGGCAGACTGATCCAATATATCATCATATTAGTAGTAGAATACAACTAAGTTTTCCTTAAGTATGTCCCACTATCTGCAGAGTCTACTAATAACACTGAATAGTCTCTCTCATAAATATGACATACTTAACATATACATAATCATAAAGAATCTCATGTTGTCTTCACAACTGCTCACAGATTTTCGTAAATCTCCTGCTAGTATGCTAAGGATTTGGTAGACTAGTTGGAAAATTTTAGAAAGATTTGTCTCCGTAGAGTCATTATATCGAATTGATGTGGACAGTTATTTGCTATTGGTAAAAAGCAGCATCATTATTTGATATTATGTTTTGAAAAATATTTTTTTTTATAAAGTTGTTTTGATTGACTCTGTAAAGGTAGTTATTTGGTAAGCGAACAATTTGACATATGTAGACATACAACTGTTGATCATCAAACTGGAACCAACCTTGAGACTGAAATCCCTTTATTTAACCAAGTTGTACGATACTAAAAAAAAAAACAGCTATAGGTTCAACAAAATATATAACAGTAATTCAGAATAAAATACTTACTAACCTCATGAATAACATTTACACTCCTCTTAAAAGCAAGGATTAACAATTCATGTTTAAGTTTTGAGAATATGGAGATTGAATCAAAAGTTGGTAAGAGAGATTGAATCAATAGTACAACATGAACTTATCCTCTGTCTTGTTTTCATCAAACCACAAGCTATTGCTACTACTGCTCGTACAGCTACTACTTATTAATTGCTTGATCTCCTCCATTCCATAATCTTCCATTGATCTCTCCTCCTCTTCATGATGATGATCATGATCATGATATTCCATCTTCACCATTGGTACTGTACTTGTTGTACTTGACCCACTTCTTACATCACTCAACAACATTATTCCCTTGTTTGTACTTTGCTTCTGGATGTCTTCTTGATGGCTCATTATGAGATTGTTTATGTTTGGAAAATTTACCATACTGCCCATGTTTTCTTGGTATAATAGTTGTTGTTGTTGGCCCATCATTGTCATCATCATCCCCTGATGAGGTGTGTTCAGCTGGTTTGTTGCTATTGATGGGTTATACGGAAGTAGATTATTGATCATGTTGTAATGTGACGATGATGATGATGATGATGGTGATGATGCCGATGATGAAGCAATGGCTAAGTGGTGATGAGGTGGAGGAGGAGGAGGAGGAGGAGCCATGGTAGCAAGGAGCTTCTTCTTGAGCTTAGTGTTCCAATAATTCTTGATGTCATTATCAGTCCTACCTTGCAAGTGCGCTGCTATTACTGACCACCTGCATTTTTAACAAGATTTGCTCTTATATGTAACCACAATAGTTAAATAAAAAATAGGTTTTAAAGCTTCATTCTTCAATTGTTGTCAAAAGTGAAGTTTGCTCCCAATAGTTGTCCTAAATAATGAACTAAAGAATATACCCACAAAAGGAGGCAATTATACTGCACAAAAGGTGGGTATGTAAAAGCCAATATCAATTATTTTTTCTAAGAAAATAAAAGGGATTGAATCTTCCTTGAAAAATGCAAAGTCTCTTGCTTTTTGATACCCACTTTCTCCATTTTTCTCTTATGATTTAAACAAGGTTTATCTTCAAGATCAGATATACCAAGACCAAGATTATTAATATCGGAATCATATCAGTTTTTAGTATTAGAAGTTGAAGCTAGACTTTCTTAACCTGCTTCCAATGGAGGCAAAGAGGCCGCAGATAATCTTGTCTTCTTCCTCAGTGAAATCTCCATGCCTAATGTTTGGTCTCAGATAGTTCAACCATCTCAGTCTGCAACTCTTCCCACATCTCCTTAAACCTTTTATTCATCATATTATTCAAAAAAAAAATAAAACAATCAAGACCCATCAAAGGAGACAAAAATCCAAAGAAAACCCATCAGAAAAAATCCAAGAAAATAACTCATTCGAGTCCTGAGAGGTAAAAATACCAGCTTTTTGAGGGAGAGCAATCCAATTGCCACCAGTGCCTTGATTCTCTATGTAATCTTTAAGCTTTGCATCTTCTTCAGGAGACCACGGGCCTCTCTTCACATTTGCCTTGTCACAGCATGGAGCCCTACCCATCTCTCTTGGTCCGTAGCTAATCTATATGTTTTGCTTGAGGAATGTTTGTTTTGTTTTTCTGAAAGAGAAGAAGAGAAAGAAAAAATGTTTTCTGGTTCTGTAATTATCAAAGATAAAGACATGTATTTATTGCTCTATGTATTGGAAACGCCCAAAGTCAATGAAAAACATATTTTCTATTTTCTTTCCTTTTTTTTTTGAACAACTTTCGATTTTCTTTCTATTATGCTTTTCCTCCTCCCCCATGTGGATTAACTTCACTTATTATAATATCTATGTAGAGAAAGAGAGAGAAACAGAGTATATAAATTATATATGTGTGTTTTTGGTCACCAAAGCAAAACAAGAACAGCTGGTCTAAGTTGTGAAAGCGGAGAAAAAATTAAAAAAGAACAAAACAATTCGTGATAATACTAGTAATTTTAATTAATCAAGTGCTTTCGTGCTCTTTTTAATAAGTTTTTAAAATTGGACAAATTGGTTTGTGGGAAGAAAATTGGACAAATGGTTTAAAGTGTTTTCTCGATGTCCCAGTTTGATTGAGGTACTGAACATATATATGTGTTTGTCTTTTGATGAGACCAAACAACCGCTTTATCGACCGATTTTTAACCCGTTTTGCGTCTGCATTGAATTAAAACCGAATCAAACTAACCAGAACCAACATGAATCTCAGTTTTACTTTGCAGATTTAGGATTAGTAACAAGGGAACAATTACTCATATTTTTTCAGTAAATATATGTATTAATTTATATAGGATGTATACACCAAATAACCTTCTCTGTTTTTCATTAATTAAATAAAACTGTTTTTAATCAGATAAATAACTTTCGAGTGAGATTTCAACGTCCTTCAGATTATTAATCAGTGCTCAATTTTTTTTTTGTCAACCAGTAATCAATTGAGAATAGGTACTATTAAAAATGGAAGAGAAAAAAATGTGCATGGTAGAGTCAAACATTTATGCATGGTATTAATTAATTGTCTTGGTACACTACGTCACTACCAATAAAAGAGAAGGAAATAGTTCATGGACTGCCGCAACAAGAAGGTTGTGACTTGTGACTAGTGATAAGAAAAAGAAAATAATAAAATAAAATGAGAAGTTGACATTAAACCAAAAAAATAGAGGAAGTGTGAAAGTGACGTGTACTCATTTTTCCTAAAAACCAAGTGAGAAGTTTGACTAAGTCATTTCCCACAAGACATGTCAAAGTGATTGATCCCGAGGCCACCACACACATACATATATTCTTATGAGAAGAATATATATATGTATTTAAGCAAATATTTATTATTTTCATACAAAGACATGTCTGTATGTATGTATGTATGTAGCCTAGGTATGTATTTATACTGTACATACAGATAAAGTGGCAAAAAAATTTGAATTTTGATGGTGATGGGCAGCAATTTAAGAGGGTTTCTGTCTTTCTGAAAATGAAAATATACAGTAACTTGGTTACACTCCTTCCTTATATTAGAAACGCACACGCTTATTTTAGTAAGGTTACATACACTCGTTCTTATTTCTGAAAAGGAACTCTAAGACTTATCAAATTATGTATCTAATCTACCTTAATCGCAGCACACACTTCACATACCAATTACATTGCTAATACAGTCACAAAATGGATGTATGATTCCTTATTACTGATATTAGATTGTCACAGGCAAATTTTTGTTAGTGCATTTGCAACGAGTTCTAATTATTGTTACATTTTCATGATTTGTATATTACTAGTTAGTAACCTATATAACTATTGAGATTGAGTCCCTACCTGAAAATATTTGTATTGACTTCGTGGTTATACCGAGAGGTCGAAATCTATCTACAATAATATACTTTATGAAAACAGATCTAATAATTGATAAAGTTATATTAACATACAATAATATTCCACTCAAGTATGTGCGCCTATCTTTTGAATAAATACGTGGGATGGAAATTCACCTTAAGATGTTAAACCTTACAATATTTAATTATTGTCATGTAACTATCTCATATAATACTAGCTAGTTTCCATTCGATCCTTATACTCTACGTGAAAACCGTAGAGTTACAAAAGTCTTGACGCAAAAGCCAAAAGTTGGCCACGATTGTTGGTTACTTGAAACTATTTTAACCAATCCAAAGAAACATAATTGAAGGCAGTACTGGTAAAATTTTGATGCAAAAAGAAGTAAAAGTCTGTTTGGTAAAATTTTTGATTTTACAGCCAAACACCAATTAAGCATAACAGCTCCTTACCCGAGTATGAAAATTAATTTGACGCCACAGAGAAAGACAAGATTGTTCAGCAATGGAGAGCAAAGTTACATAAGAATTATTTTTTCGATTTATATTAAATATTTTAAATTACTTTTTTAGAATTATTTATGAAAAAAAGGATGGAACATGGGAGCGTGTTGAGTCCACGCGAAAAACCATAAAACGACAGCGTTTTAACGTGACGTCGTGTCACTTTCTTCGCCTTTCTTCCAATTCCTCAAGACTATCTACTTCTCTATCACAACACTTCCCTCACTTCTTTTACCAGACTACACTCACAAGCTCTCTTCTCCATTCAATGGCGGCCATTACCGGATTCTCCGCTCTCTCCAGCTCTATCTCTCCTCCTCCATCACTTCCGGCGTCGCCTTTACTCAATTCCCCTCCGTGTCTCTCCAGATTCCCAAATGTATCTCCTTTTCCCGCGCTCTCTACCTCTCTCCGGAGAAGGATTCCGTTGACTCCGGCGTGTTCTTCGATTGGCGACGGAGATGAATCTGTTGAAGAAGCAAGAGGTGATGATGAGATTAGAGAGACTTTGATGTTATCAGTCTCTCCTTTGCCTCTCCTCCTTGTTGCTTCTCTCCCTGGAGGTAAATCCACACAAACTTCTCAGCTCCGATTCATAGATATTAAGTATAGCTAATGGTGAGAGATTGTGAAATTAGTTGTATTCATTAATTGTGTGAATGCTTAATTAATCAAATTCTGTGGCTTTTTGACACTTGTTGAATTAAAGTCGAGATCTTTTCTCAGATATTTTCCTAGTAAACAGATGTAACAAGAATGTTGTGACAAGAAAACGTGATTTTGCTAATATCTATCTCACTTGTGGCAGCTGCAACTGTTAGATCTGTCATTGGACCCTTTGTGGAGATTGTTAAATCCTTGAATCTACCTGAATGGCTTGTTCATTGGGGCCATCCAGGGAACATGGTTAGCTTCCTCCTCCATACCATCTTTCAAGAATGTTTCCTTAATTCCATAAACTATGATATGTGTGAAAGCCTGTTCCTTTAGACATAGAACGCATGTCCTGTTTTGTTTTTGTGAAACATTGATTCATCTATAATTTGTCGGTGATGGTTTTGGATTTGTAATCTGTTTCCTCTCAGGCAGTGGTTCTTTTTGCTATGGGTGGCTATGGAACATACCTAGGCTTCCGGATTCGTTATTCAGATGACATTGTAAGACTATTAAACTTATTGATCTGGCTATAATGTTACAAGAACCATTGTTTGTTAAAAGAGCGTTTTGGTTTTTCTTCGTTTGCCTTTAATTTTGTCAGGAAGAGAAGGCAAATGCAAAAGACCTGCACCCGAAGCTTCTAGCCGGAATGTTTTTCTTTTTCGCCCTTGGAGCAACTGGTGGTATCACATCCCTTCTTACCTCCGACAAACCCATCTTCGAAAGGTATCTTTTTTTACATATGAAACTCGTATTTACTGATACCAAACTCGAAGAAACACAACACTGTGTTAATGACCCTCTTTGTCTTTGAACTTAGTATTGAGTTTTCAAATGATATGGTTTCGGATTTTGTGCAATGTAGCCCGCACGCTGTTACAGGATCTATAGGTCTTGCACTCTTGACGATTCAAACAATCTTACCAACTTTGTTCAAGGTAAAAAATGGCAATGCTGAATTTTCTGGTCTAAAAACTTTTGTGATATATACCAGTTTTAGGATCAAGAAACTCGTTGTTTCAAATATGTGCAGGACAAACCAGATCTGAGGAACGTGCATGCGATCCTTGGGAGCGGGATAATGGCTCTTTTCCTCATCCATGGTGCTCTCGGCCTTCAGCTCGGTCTCAGTTACTGACCTATTCTTTACTAACTTCTTCTCATGTCTTTGTGTTCTTCTTCAGCTGCAACCACAACCATTTTTCTCTACTTTGTTTTTTCTTTCTTTCTTTTATTCAATTATACATAGAACGCCTTAAAATCTAATATAGAAAAGAATCAAAGATGATATATTTAGAGGCAAAAAGCTTGTAAAATAATGTCAAATCTATGTGTATTGTTTAAGAATTTCGATTATGGGGTTTTTCACTCATATTTGAATATTTTAGTTTTGGCTTTTTTTCTAAAAAAATTTTTGTCGAGAATAAACAAAGTTAGAACAATTGAAATTTTCTACTCACAAGCCAGCTTAAGGTAAAATCTAGCTTTTCCCAACTTTAAAAGCGGAACAAGAAATCGAAAATCTTTAAAAGAAATAACGAGTTTATGAAACGAAACCAACACCTAAATATGAGAAAAAATCATGTTACAGATTTATTTTGTTATGAAACATTGAAAATTCATTTAAAAAAAAAAAGAACATTGAAAATTCTAAACCACTACTCCATTTGATGCTACCATGCTCCACATTAACCGGAGGATCCAATTACTATGTCGATATCGGGTCGGGTCGGGTCAAGTCGGGTACTCTTCTCACCAACCACACCCACACCAACGACAACGGAGGTTGGTGAGATTATAGTTGGCTACATCGCACCATCCATTTCTCCTTCATTCGAAATCGACGGTGCAAAAGCATTATGCGACTGTAAACCATAAAACACGTGATCACAGCTTCGCCAACAATATAAACCGAAGGGACGTGGAGCACGAGAAGAGCGGGCAAACACACAGAGCGAGTCGAACTCCGAGTTACGCGGCGAGTTTCTCTCTTTCTCTCACTCCATCTCAATAAATCTCTCTCTCTCTCTTCTCTCGTTTCTCTGCTCTTCTCTCTCTCTCTCTCGTTTTAATTTCTTCTCCAGATCTCGAATTCCTCTACTTCGTTAACAGGTTTGCTTTCTTCGATTTCATTTTTTTATTTTTGAGATTAATTCTTCGATCCATTGTTGCTCTTTCTTCGTTAGATCTGTTCATTTCGTTGGAAGCTTATATGTTCTATCTAATCATTCGTTCCCAAATCTAGAATTGTTTGTTGTGTTGATAGATCTGACAAATCGAGGTTCATGCTTTTGATTTCCTTGCTTAATTGATTGAATTCGACATTCTATTGTGTAAATTCGGAATCATTCTGAAGAAAATTAACAAGTTTTCTTCAATTGTGTCGGAGGAAACTATACAAATCTTTGGATATGGTCCTATGGATATGTTTTCTAGGAAATTTGTTTTTTTTTCCTGAATTTCTGCTGGTAAAATTTGTGCTTATCGATTTGGTTTTATGCCTTAATTTCAGAAATGGAAACGTTCCTATTCACCTCTGAATCCGTCAACGAGGGACACCCGGACAAGCTCTGCGACCAGGTTTCTGACGCAATCCTCGATGCTTGCTTAGAGCAAGACCCTGAAAGCAAAGTCGCGTGTGAGACATGCACCAAGACCAACATGGTGATGGTGTTCGGTGAGATCACAACCTCTGCCAAAGTAGACTACGAGAAGATTGTTAGATCCACTTGCAGAGAGATTGGATTCATCTCAGCTGATGTTGGCCTTGATGCTGATAAATGCAATGTTTTGGTCAACATTGAGCAACAGAGCCCTGACATTGCTCAGGGAGTTCACGGCCATTTGACCAAAAAGCCGGAAGATATCGGAGCTGGTGATCAGGGACACATGTTTGGATACGCCACCGATGAGACACCTGAGCTCATGCCTTTGACCCATGTCCTAGCCACCAAGCTTGGTGCCAAGCTCACTGAAGTGAGAAAGAACAAGACTTGCCCCTGGTTGAGGCCTGATGGTAAGACTCAGGTCACCGTGGAGTACAAGAACGATGGTGGAGCCATGATTCCGATTAGAGTCCACACTGTTCTCATCTCAACTCAGCATGACGAAACTGTCACCAACGACGAGATCGCTGCTGATTTGAAGGAGCATGTGATCAAGCCGGTTATTCCTGCTAAGTATCTTGATGACAAGACCATCTTTCACCTGAACCCGTCTGGTCGTTTCGTCATTGGAGGACCTCACGGTGATGCTGGACTCACGGGAAGGAAGATCATCATCGACACTTATGGTGGTTGGGGTGCTCATGGTGGAGGTGCTTTCTCAGGGAAAGACCCAACCAAGGTTGACAGGAGCGGTGCTTATATCGTCAGGCAGGCTGCTAAGAGCGTGGTAGCTGCAGGACTTGCTCGTCGCTGTATCGTGCAGGTATCATATGCCATTGGTGTCCCTGAGCCACTCTCGGTGTTTGTTGACACTTACAAGACCGGGACCATCCCAGACAAGGATATTCTTGTGTTGATCAAGGAAGCGTTTGACTTCAGGCCGGGAATGATGGCCATTAACCTCGACTTGAAGAGAGGAGGTAACTTCAGGTTCCAAAAGACTGCTGCGTATGGCCATTTCGGGCGTGATGACCCTGACTTCACTTGGGAGGTCGTGAAGCCACTCAAGCCAAAGGCCTAAGCAAACACAAAGAACTGGTAACTGCAAGAACTGAGTTGAGAAGACTCCTCCTCACTACAGGGAACTTTATCATTATACCATTATTATTGCAATAGACTGAATAATCCCATACATTCACATTTGTTTTTGCTGCTTTTGGAGTTCGAACACAAGGCCTACGGTTCAATTATCTGGTAAACAAAAGATCACGAATGGAAGATTTGAGTTTCATGTTTTAAATTTCTGCCTTTTTTTTTTCTTTTCTTCTTAATCTCTTGTACTGTAATTTTGATTTTTGTAATGAAAGAAATCCATCGTTGTGGTGTTAAACATTATGATTTACATTTACTGTGAATTGAGTAAATAAAATACTTGAACCTGGAAAAGAAAACAGAGAAACTAACTAAGCAGAAGAGAAGTACGAGAACATGTTTCATGAGTGAAGCCAAAGCCGGTCTTGGAGTCTCTCTTCTCCAGCTCCATACATCTCATCTACTTTCTCGCCATCTTTGTAAAAGGTGAAAGTGGGTGTGTAACGAATGTGCTGAGTGGTTTCAGGACACTCGTCGATATCCGTGTAAACAAAAGTGTGCCCTGGAAAACTGGAACTGAGCCTCTGAAACACAGGCAGAATCTGGCTACAAACCTGACACCTGAAAGCCAAAGCTTCAACATTTTACTTGAGGAACTATATTTTTCTCAGTGAGGCATTTTCAACAAACAGGCTGTATCCATTAGATGGTTTTATTGGCTGAATGAAACCCAACACAAGTTTTACCAGGAAGCTCCGTAGTTTATAACAGCCTGCAGACAAGAGAAAACGCAGTGTTAAAAATTCAGAGATTTTCGAAAAGGAACAAAAAAACTTGAGTTTTGAGAGAAAAAAAAAGGTTAGTAACTGGAGATTTGGAAGACTTGATGTTGTGAAGAATGGTGAGTAGACTTTGATCGGTTGCAGCAGTTTTCAGATTCGCAGAGCAATTGAAATTGGATTCCATATTCCAATTTGTTTCCTCGGAGTCCTTCTCATTTTTAATTTTTTTGTTTGGGGTTGATTCTGAAGTCTTTCTCTCGTCTGCTCAACAAACCAAAGGTTATCTAATCAATAGTGAGATTTAAATTCACAATCATTCCATCCCAAAAGAGGCCCAACGGATCTAATTAAGATTACAACACAAAGTAGACGATACGACATCGTATCCCTGGAATGATCAGCGCTTTTGTATTAATCCATTTCACAATTCACATCCTTATAAATGATTACAAGAACATGTTAAGATCAAAATCTATATATTTTTCCATATAGTATTTGAATGAAAGTCCATAAAGTTTATCATATATATATATATATATATCATATATATATTACTAGACAAATTATTTTTAATACCTAAACTTGAAATTGAAGGGTCGTCCTCATACACTTGATAGCCTCACCCAACAAAGATGCCTTATCCTCCTATATATACAAACTTATAACCTAATTTCTAGGTAACATTCTAGCTAATTAATGTGGTTTAAGTTAATCTCAATTTTTATTGCAGTTCTTTATAAAAAAAATTAGTTGGGGGTATATGTTTATAAACAAGAAAAAAAAATTAGTTGGAAACAATTTATTCTATTTTATTATTAAATTAAAAAATTTTGATTAAATTTATTTAAATTATTTAAAAATATATATAAACAATAGGGGCACTTGACCCCATTGAACCTTCACTACCTCTGCCCATGGTTAGGTAGTAGATCCTGCAAAGCACACATTTTCTTAGTGATCTCATTCCTACGCTTCTGTTTACAAATCATAATTATAATTAATTAAGTAATTAGATTATATATTATCATGATTCATACACTTTTTCCCCCGTCAAGGTGAAATTTTATGAGATTTATATAGTAGTATATATATATGGACTTATGTACTTGTTTTTCTCTTAGTAACCGCATTGCTTGTTCTAGGAGTAGTAGGAACTTGGGACTTTGCATTATCTGATTCATTATCCGAATTATGCGTAAAAAGAGAAATATATATATGATCCACGGTGTGAAAAGAATTTGTTAGTGTTGGAAGACTTGTTTTCCCATTGTTCACAATAGACTTAAATGTAGATAAAATAAAATAAAAAGAAGGAAAGAATTTGATTAGAAAGCCATCGATCACTCAATTCGTTGCTTTTGTCGTGTGGCATGTATTGTGGCGCAAGCATCCAAAGTCTCATAAACTATTATCAAAGCTAACATGACTGATGACATAACGAACGCCCTTCAAGTATGTGCATCCAAATGATTCTTCGATATGTTATTATATTACCAAGTATGCGTAGATCACGACACTCTCAGAGTCCCACGTACGCTACCCACCATACTTCAATAAATACCGTATAATAATTGAATAAGTATAACATACATGGACCTCTCTACTCCATTACTTTCTTCAATTTCTCCTTCCAATCTTACTCTGAATGATTAGAACTATTTTTATGTATGAGTGTGAGGTCAATGAAGAAGTTGAGAGAATAAAGGAAAACGATTTGCATTATTACAACTAAGGTAATCGGTTCCTGATGCATTTTTATAGAGAATTTGAGGGAAAAAAGTCAGTCAAACCAACTCAATAAGTTTGAGAAATACAATGGATTTACAGTAACTTTTATAAGATTAAAACTTTGTGAAATCAAAAAAATTCGTAACGTTGGTGTATTCTTTCTTTTTTTTCAACTCTCAGATGTTCAAGTAAGACACATAACCATAAAATTTAGTCAAAAACTATAAAGTAAATAAGAAGAGAGAAAATTATGCTTCGTTCTTCATTGCGGCTAAGATACAGTCGTCCGCGTTGTAATATCTTCATAGCTTTTTCCTAATAAGAAAATAAAGTCAAATTTTATTATTTTTCATTTTATCTATCAAAAGTAGATTTTCTCCGAATTCTCTCCAATTTAATTGATGAGGAACCAAGAGCTTTTGTAATAGATCTCGTGTGGAGTTCGTTACTGCGTTATCGGGTCATGGGTCAGGTTCTAGGCATCTAGGTTATTCAAAAACAGGTTCGGTCCGCATGTGAACGGTTGGGTGTGGTATATGTCTCGTGTGTATGCCTGTTCTCCTTAAAGACATATATTAGTTGGTGAGTTAACCTTATCAGTGCATGGACAGTAGTCAAAATGAAGCAAGTGATCACTTGAAAATGTCTAAAAAAAAGTGATAAACTTATTTAGCCCTTGAGAGGTTTCCGAAGCGCATGAATTGGGTTAATCAAAAGATACATTAAACGATTTTTGCCTACTATAGTTAAATAACAAAAAAAAAGCATCAATTATTGTTAGTTCAACTGATAAAAAGTCTTAAATAAACTTTAAATGTCACATGATAAAAATAAAATAAAAATCAAATGTCACATGATGATAATAAAATAAAAAAATCAAATGTCACAAGATCGATTGACATTTGGGACTAAACTAATATTAAGTTCATGATTAAAAAAAACCCAAACAAGCAATGAAATAGATGCACTGCAAAAATATAACTGATTTTGTAATGTAATCTAAATTAATCTGGATACGAAATTATCAAAATTAAATACGCAGTTAATTTTTTTGTCGGTCAGATGGGTCCCGCAACCGTCGATTATCAAGACTCATATCACCGTTACCGACAAAAATAGTGAAAGCTTATTTTTCCATATTTTTTTCTTCATAATAATCATTCATTGAATTCAAATTATAAATATTGAATATTATTGAATTTTAGCATTGTCCTTTCGAGGACACCTGCACAATTTAACTCGTTTTAAAAAAAATATAAAATTTAATTTGCTACCAAGTATTAATAGAACAAAAGAGGTTCGGAAGTACCCCATAATTTATACGTACTAGTATTAATGCAATATACAATCTCCCAGAAAATATATTATCATTATGTATTCGGTGATGGCTTATGAGTTATGATCGTGTTGGTTAACTATATATTCTAAAATGTATTTGAATTTCACTTTAGTATCTCATGACCATAACTAGAAAACTTTCAAAATTTTGAAAATGTTGTCAGTAACAGTTAAAGTTTTCATTTGTAAAAGCATTTTTTGGTACATGAGTTCATGTCTAAGTATATTATGAGTAGAGTGGTATATATACGATATTCATATAATCGAAATTTGTCGAAAAAAACTTTTATAGTAGCATTTTGTTCTAGTTTTGGTTAATCGGATGTCTTTTTTTGAATAAAGACAGAATAGTGATAATCATATATATATATATATATGTAAGAAAATATATTGTTTACCACTTCACTTAAACATGCATGCACCTTTGGAAACTTGCATAACAACCAGTCAATCTGATTCGAAATTGTTGATATCTAAAGCCAACGTTTAAGGTTTGGTTCAGATGATCAGATCTCCTGCAAAAAAGAAGAAAAAAAAAACTGGCAAAAAAGGCCCTACTTTTATGTCGATAAAGCGGCTGTATAGGATTCTTACAAAGTTACAATGATTATCAGAGTAATAAAATATTATCACGATAATTTAATAATTAAGTCCAACTGTTAATACTTTTAACTCTTTTGCGTAAGATTACCTCGTTGGAAATTTGGGTCACAACTTTTTGAATAGATTAATGTGATTAATTAATTACTAATTTTCTATCCTGAAGAATTTAATTAGATTGATGAGATTTCATGTATATATATACATGTATATATTGTACGATCAGGCATACGTACATTATTTGAAGCTTTGCATTCATGGGTGGTACTAATATGTGACTTCACAATGGATGGCGTAGAGTATGACATTATGTGTAAAACAAATGAAAAACAAACGGAATTAACATGTACATGTATAACATATAGGGGGGAATGAACGGAATAAAAGACAATGAGAACATAAAGAGATCACATGTACATGTATAACATATAAGTGTTCTTTTCAACCAAATTTAAAAAAGATGCGCGAGGCATATTAAAGTCATGTCGATTAAAATTACTCGTGAATAAGTATCTAAGAATAATAATAAAAAATAAAGAATCTAAGATTTCCCTTGCAAAAAAAAAAAGAACTGTTGAATTTAGCAAAAAACAAAAAAATCTAAGATGGCTAAGAGAAGATCCGTGATTCGTTATGATTACGTTTTTGACTAATCATGCATAGTTAATTTCGACCCAAAAAAAAATCATGCATAGTTAATACGTTTTATGTCTTTTTGATTGATTATTGACATATTATGCATAGTTACAGTTTTACGTTATGATTAAAAACGTATGTTTAATCCATAGTCGATAAACAAAACCCTGTCGTATATTGGACTTAGATTTATTACGAAAAAAGTATTATTATATTTTACTACTGTAACTACTGTAACCATTTTTTACCGTAATTAAGTAGCATATAAAAAGTTGTACTGTTTTTTTTTTTTTTTTGTCACCAACCCTTACTTATATTTTTGGTAAGTACAATAATGAAACTTTGCTTATAGAGAAATATCCAATGAATGCATACACTTTTATGAAACACGCATCGCCATCAACCATTTCCTTGGCTGTATTGTAATAATTGTTTTTGCATTACTATAGAACTATGCGCACAAGTTTTTTTCTTGCCATCGACTAAACTTGAACGAAAAGGCAAATTAATGCAAGTTTTACGATGGATTATACTTATAACTTTGGCGTTATTGGTTAATGACAGTTTTAATTATTTGATAATCATGAGTAGTGTGACTTTTTAGCATCCAGCTAATCCTCCTTGAGAATAGTCATCGAGTAACTCATCCACTGACTTTTTAAATGAGTCTAAAAACATAACACCATATTTCAACTAACCTAATGGAAGTGATTAGATAATTCTACGTTTGAGAGGAATCTAATCTTGCCCTAAACCAACAGAGTAACTCCTCAACAAGTAGAAACCACTAATCTACCACTTGGTTAAAATTTTAATTTTTTATTAAATAGTTCATAAAAGTTCAAGTTACTATATAAAACATTGGGTGGATTCAACCAACTTTTCTTCTCTTGAGCACTACCTAGATAGCTTTCCGCAACATCCATTCATCTTATTTTTCACCTTATAATGTATTACTATCATAGCCAAAGGATTAAAAGAAAATTAAGCTTGGGGGGGGGGTGCATTTTGAATATTATGAGCCGCAGGGGTATATACGTATGGTTGTAGTAGGCCATGTCAATCGGTGTTGAAACCACTTGTCCTTGCACCAGTCAATTTGTGATATTAACCTAAGATTTTCCATTAATGTATAGTAAGTATATGAGAGCAACGTAATAATGCTACTCATGTTATACAATTTTAGACCGTTTAAGAGTCTAAGGTGAGTGGACCACCCATTAATTTTCATTATGTATTTTTGTGCGTGGGTCCAAATAGTTAGGACCCATTTCATTTCCAATTTCCATCATAAACGCTTATAATATATGCCATACTTATGTCTATCCATCCCCACATCATCTCTCTCTCTCTCTCTGCATTTATATACTCCACTCTTCTTCTCTCAACTCCACACAAGAAGAAAACCCAAAAAATGGGTAACTCTTTGATCTCTCTTCTCCCAATCTTCCACTTGTTGGTGTTATTAGGATCCTCCTCAGTGAATGCTAATTGGCCACCATCACCTGGTTATTGGCCAAGCTCCAAGGTTGGCTCCTTGAGCTTCTACAAAGGTTTTAGGAATCTTTGGGGTCCTCAACATCAGAGAATGGACCAAAATGCCCTTACCATCTG